TCAATAAGTTCTACGCTAAACATCTGTGGTAAGCTGGCGTTACACTTGAAGACATCCCGTAACTGGCAGGTCGCGTACGGCGATCTAAACCGTCTAATCCTCCATTACAACTGCGATGTCCTTTACTCAAGATACACCAATTCGCAAAAAATCTTCAAGGTAGAGAATAGAGGCAGTTGTGCAATATAACTTATGCGAGCAAGAGTGCTCACTAGGTGGGCTTTGTGTACCACAAGCATGAGCAATCCAAAGAAAGAAAAACAGGCATTTTAAAACACTTTCAATATATGAACTCGGAACATGAGCTTGAATTTGATAGCTTCTTTGCTGATTTGGTGCCAATAGCAGTGCGAACAATCTCATTGATCGAAAAAGCATTAATCAAAATCCATATATGATTTTTTTACTGTCAAGCAGTCGGAAGAATGCGACTCTCCATACAGTTCAAAGGTCATAACGGTTGCAAAAGATGAATTACCGAGTTTTGCGAAAAAGAGCGGACGAAGTGAGCTTGATACTCAGCAGTTAGCTCTGCAACAAAGTCGAATAATTTGAATACTGAGTTCATTCGAATACGAAATCGAATAAACATTCGAATAAAATATTCGAATAAAATCTATTCGAAACCCCGTTTTATGATTATTCGAATTTTCGAATTTTATTCGAAGCCCTGTTTTTTGATTATTCGAGTTTTCGAATTAAATTCGAAATGGTTTCTTGATTGCTCGAGTTTCGTTTATTCGAAATCCCGTTTACTCAATTATTCGAGTTTCGAATATTATTCGCAAATGGAAGAACTCCGAATACCGAATTTCGAATACGAATATATTCGAATGTTTTGTTCGAATGATCGAATTTCTATTCGATTCGGACCCAAGTATACTGTGTACATTTGGATACTATTAAAAACTGGGTTGTTGTTTCTATCTTTCAAGAAAGCACAGAAGTCTTTCTGAAGCGGCAAAATTCAAACACTTCGAATTCACTCAGAACTTTGGGTATGGATCTTATCTGACATGCTGATTACAGATGTAGCACACAGTTTACGAATTAAGGCCCCTTTGTTGGCTAACGGCTGAAAGTACCCTCTTTTTCGCCGCGCGCGATTTCGCGGTCCGAAACGTGTTAATCTATCATAGAAACAAAGAGCAAAGACAGACAAACGATTCAGACGCAGACGCAGCTTTTCTTCCTCTTTCTGTCAACAATGTTCATGCCCTAGTCATTCATGTGGTAACTAAAATAATAGCGCCGAAATTTTGAACTATGCCTTTTAGAATGTCCAAATTTGGTGATTCTTTAAAATCTTCTCTCTGAACTTTTGGAAAAGCTTTGGTAGCAATCAGATAGCGTAGGCAGAGTACAATGGAATGTGTGCTACCCGTAGCTAGCTTTCGGAATTCATGGAATTATATTTCTGATGCTATCAACTTCCACTTTTGGTCATACTAAAACTCATAGAACAGCAAACGGAGAGCAACTAAGGTATCATACGATGCAGCTTTTTCTTTTCTTTTTGAGAAACTTTTTTTCCTAATGCGTAGTGTTTTTGGCGACAATAATCATGATTCTAGATTTTTGAAAGCGCTTCAGGCTGTACCCGTAAAATGCCAATTTGATATTTCGAAGCCGTAAAGGCTCAGTCGCTTTGCAAAACTAGTGTATAATCAATAAATTTTTGACCGAATCGCATTCCGGAGAATTCTTATTGTTAGTGTTTAGAGCATTTGTATATTTTGCGACTTCGCTAAAGTAAAAACTTTTGGAAAAAGCCACCATAAAAAATATTGTGAAGTCAATTGAAAATGTCGAAACATTGCATTGCATAGCACTTTTTTTGCGCTATATGACTGCTATCAAAGCTTTTCCAAAACAGGACGAAGATTCTCGAAATTTGCCAAAGTTGGACGTGAGAACTTTGGATCGATACTTCGGCGATTGAGCGACTGCATGAGTAAATCAGCACAGGGACTGAGTGATGCAAAAAGGAAGAAAAGCTGCGTCGGAAAGTGTCTGAATTTTGTCTACCTTTGTTCCACCTGTTTAGATGATAGGCTGAGAAGACGGAAAGAGTTTCGGAACGACCCAATAAAATAAAAGATAAGGTGATTGATTATCGGATGTGGGGTGTAAAATGTGTAGCTGTTTTCTTCGTCGTCGAGGGATTTTTTTTGCTCAGATATGGAAACGGGCTCTTATCTTGGCTTATTTTTTTATGCTGGAAGAAAAGCCAAGCTCATTACAGAAAGATAAATGTCCACATAGAAGAATGTATAGGGGTGTCCCAAAAAGATGGCACACCCAAGTCTTTTGCCAAGCTTGAGACGCCATTCTGTAAAGCGAGGTTCAACTTAGATTTGCAGTGTAGAGCGAATCATCAGTCGCTCTCCATTACCGTACGATTACGGTAGAAACTTCGAGGGGATTTTAAGTAAAGCGGTTTTTGCCGGTATTTCGCCTTAGAAAGGAAGCAAACAAGCCAGAAACTCTTAAAGTGGGCTATTGAAGTCGTTGATCCTGAATATGAAATTTGCACTTCAGTATAATACTTCTTTCATAAGTTATTTCAGTTCTAGGGGTAACTGCTGTTCCTTATATTGGGTTGTCTTCATAATTAATGCACGTTTTATGGTTTTCAACTTCTAATCAAGATAACTCTCTTCCGAAACACCTTGCAAGTGCAATAAAAATTAGTGCAAACAACAAACCTTTGACTATAGAACGCATGCTTTTGTTGTATCGCAGCCGCTTTAAGAAAGATTTTATAGCCCAAAAAATTCCCGAACATTTTTTAAGAAAACCATACTTTGAGAGAGCTTAACTTTTGCTCAAATATACTAGGATCGCGCGGACTTTGCTCATTATGTAGCCGATGATCAGTTGTGCAATGGAGTGAAGTTTGAGTTTTACGGCATATTTCTGTGAGAAAATTTTGCAAAAAAAAACTGGAAGTACCCATTTTTTCAGTATTTTGGAAGATCCAGAAAACTGTCTTTTTGAGATTTTTTGAATTTTTTCTCTTCGAAAAGACGATGAAACGCTGCGTTTTTTCCAGCATTAGTTATACCAGGTCTACTCTACGTGCACCTAGCGAAATTTACAAGTCGCTTTTAGCTTGAGATTTTTATGCAGCTTAGATGGGCCTCAGCGATCAGCCAAGTTTGGGACAAAATTTCTCAGCTCGGAAAATCTCAAAAATCTCATACTGACAAAGGCTTTGTAGCACGAGCAAGCTTCGCGATCGTTATATATATTTTTTGAGGAAAATCCATCTACTTTTCATGAGCAAGGAGAGTGAAGGGAAAGAATTTCAAAATTTGATCACTTGTCTTTGAATTCATGGAACTTCGGCTTCAACAAAGATTTGCGAAAAAGAAAGCACATTTTAGAAACTAGAGGAATCGGGCTTTTTTACTGTAGAGGGTTTTGAGGAAAAATGTTTTTTCTTTGAGAACCAGCTCTCTCAAAAAGAGGATAGAAAACGTAATATATTAGGTTGTTCCGAAAATTTTGTCGGTTTCTTTGAACCACTATAAAACCACGCACAGTAAGGACCTGAATGAGTTTCAAGACGCATTCGATGCAGCTTTTTCTTCTCTTTCTTAAGGTTACATATTCTAACCACAATCTTGCATGCTTTCTTTGATAATTGCCAAAATTCTCCACCCGTCAATTGCATCTGCTCAAAGTTAGGGTAATTTTTAAAAATTTCATATCAAAGTTTGGAAGAAATTTGGAAAAGAGTTGATATGAACCAAATAGAGCAATTCTCGGGCTACAAGGCCTTATTTTGATTCTTCTAATCTGGTGTTTTTAGCTTCAAAAAATTATTTTTTTGGAGGTCTCGATTTTTGACAAAGTCATGAAACACCCGACTGCAGCAAATACACGAAAGCTTTTGAAGTTTCTGTGAATTAAAACGTTATTCTTATTGAATAAAACGTTATTCTTATTGAACGTTATTTATGCAACATAAACAAGTTTGATTTGCTTCAAAAAGCAGCTTTTTGGAATTTTCGGTACTTTAAGTGGTAAACGTAGTCAAAAAGCCGTGGTTTTTATTGAATAAATAATTATAACGGACTTGGTAAACGTGGCCCATGTAATCTAAAATGGGCACAATGTAGCCAAAGGTTTGCCCTACATAACGGTTACCGGAGATTTTTGAAAAAATCAGAATAACAATTTTTAAAATTCAGGAAAAATTTGGCGTTAGTGCTGAACTGCTTGAAAAGCCATGGCAACATCATTGCAAAGACAGAGTAGATCAGAGAGCAAATTTAGTAGTAAGAAAGAGGGTGAAAATCTGAATAGAATGGTACCTAGGTCGTTCATGAGTTGGTGTTCTAAAACCGAGAAAACTTTCGGGACAGCCTAATAAACGTGAATACGCCATCAAGAAAGCCCGAAAAACTGATGAAAAGTCATGTACCGAAATCAGCAAGCCTGAAAACCTTGCTACACAAATTCCCAGATTTTTTGAAATTATTTCATCAAAAAGCCTATTTCCCAGTGACGCTGTATGTTGAGAGTTATACCGTAATCCTACAGTAATGAAGAGTGATTGCTGATTCGCACCTAATTGTAAGTCTCAGTTAAACCTTGCTTTACAGATTGGCAATTAAGCTCGGCAAAAGACATGAAAGCAAGAAAGTAATTAATGGTCAAACAGTGCTCACATCTTTTTTCTTTTTTGGGAGACTCTGTATGGTACTCCGAATTTTTCATTCATTAAATAAGATTTGTTTGCATTGCTTGAGGAGCTAAAGACAGCAACGTAAAAGAAGTAGCTATTTATCAATACTATTGGAGTAACTCTGGTCAATGCTTGCTCTTAAATAGCACCAATGAGGTTATAATGCAAAAGATGCACAACTAAGTGACTTTCTAAATGTCTTATAATCCTCTCCGAAAGACCCTACTTGTAGCTCCAGATGCGACCCCACATTGTGGCCGTCTTACTACGCTTTATTCAAGTGATCGCTGCTGCAATACTTTACCTGTTTCCACTGTTCGTACACGAGTATGGGCTGAATTTTTCATATAGCCACAGAGTAATGCTTGATAATAGGTATGCAGCTGCTATGCAAAGCCATACGGGCCATTCCAAAACCTTTGAAAAAATTCTTTAGAAAGAAGGCTATCTAGCAAACCTACCTGCATGAATCTGAAGGGCGAGTATTGCATAATTGGCTTCTTCATCAAAATTGCACCACCAACGGTCTTGTAGTAGGGTATTGTGAAGTCAACAGCGATTTCGCGTTCAGCCGTTACACTCAAAGATGCCAAGGCAATGTCGGCGGATCCCGATACTAAAAAATTTTGAATGCGCGTATTGAGGAGTCGCTGAAATTTCCAACAGACTTTGGAAAAACGATTTGTGGGTATGAAATGGTAAGCATCTTATACACAAACACAGGTTTCTTTTCGAGACTACTCTAATTAAGTCTTGCAATGGATACTGACCCAAAGCACCGATGAGACCGTTCCAGTTACCATCAAGATCGGGCACGCCAAATAAGCCATCCTCCACCTCGTATATAGCATATGTGAAATTCAGCTACAAATTGTCAAGTCGTTCATGAGCAAAAAACGTGTAAAATCAACAACCTCTTTGCTAATCATCTCAATGAGATCAATGCAAAAGCCTTCGTAAGGCTTTTTGGGATTGCGGGTCAACTGTACGAAAGGCGGATTCTAAAATTAAGGGCTGAGTTTGCCTTCATGTGCTAATAGAAGCCTGAGTTTACTTTAGGAGTTAGCTACGCTGCTTTGTTACCGACTTACAGCACATTCATGACTAGTGAGAAGGCGAGGCGCAGGACTCGGCACAGCGGGCACCGGGTCAAGCTCTGTATGGCTTTTGTGGCAAAAGCAAAGGGGATATCTTCTTTTGTGGTCGAAACGCACACAAAAATTGCGACGTTTTTTTGGCCGACGTTTCTTATTTGTTTCTACATTTCGGGTTTGAGGTCAAAGGGGATTTCGTACAAAATTTTCAAATTGGTGCTTTGTTTTGAAATTTTCCTGATGCCAGCTTGTGCCGAGGCCTGGCTAGCCTTCTAATAAACACTTCTCAATAATATTACATGTAGAGATTCTCTACACATTTTGCAGAAGCGTGTTCTTGAAAAGCAGTGAAAAATAGATGTTTAGTGGTTGTTTCAAAGAGATTGAAAAAGAGGGATGGAGAAAAAGGAGCGACAGCTTTTTTTAGAAGCATGAACGACACTCCCGTCGGAAAGTTTGGAATGCTTTTGAAGAGTAATTTAGTGATTTTGAAGAAAGCAATGCTGCGGGCTTAAAAAATATTCTACGCACTGTTCATTTTGACTACTCCAGCTACCAGCTAAACCAAGATTGTGGTAATATTATATTCGGCTAACGTTTCGGCTTGTTTGCCTCCGTCAGAGCCTGAAAACGAGGAACATATGAGAACTTGTCTTCCCAAACGCTCTATCACAGCAGCTCAATTAGCAATAAGAGAAATTAAACAATCTATCATAAATGAAACAGCTCACCTTCTTAAACGTGGAATAGATAAACACTCACTGCTTAGCGCTAAGGTTGGAACGAGGAGCTCTGGGTGGATATAGGTCAAAACTAGGGTCAATCGTGTGATGCGACTGTCGCAAGGGGGGGGGGGGGTCGTAAAGGGGGCATCGGCGGTGGGGAGGGGGCGTTAGAGAGTGTGGTTCGAATTAAAAGTGTGAATGTAGGAAATAAGCTTCTCAGTCGCAAGCATCTCTACTCTTTGAAAAACAGCATTTTTTCCCTGCAAAAAAGGTGTCGCAGACGGGGATCGAACTTGCCGGCCATAAGTATGACCGAAGATTCCAAAGACACATTCAGAAGCTCAAACACTAAGCATGTATGTGTGACAAGAATGTTGAATATACTAACTGGCCCAGAAATCCTGGTTCCGAAGCATCACTGAAATCTCGCACTCTCGAAAGAGCGCTCATCTCTACCAGCGACGACCATCGATAATTTCTAAAACTTTTTTATTATGGCTTTCAAGAGCCCATACAATTTTTCTATACTTCGGAAATGCTCTGTTACTGCGCAAGACCTGGTTATATTTCATAGCCTGTGGATTTCGTTTTGAAATTTTATATATGGCACAAAAAATGAAAAAGGGGGGGGGGTTGCATCTGGGGTCACATCTAAATTTCTCCGGAGCTGTTGAAGCTTGTTGATGCAATCTTGCTGTAATACGAGGCCAGCCTCCTATTTTCTACCATAAAAGTTTTAGGCTGTTTTGCTGTATCTCCAGTGAGTTAAGGAATTTTGAGCTCAAAAATCCCAGTTTTGCTTCTACTCAGATAACCGCCGGGGGCAGGCGGCCATGCGAATTTTGAGCAAGCGCGCACCGGAAAAATATTCGTTGATTTTTTGCGGCCCGCTTGCAGAAATTTGGAAGAAAGCTGGCGAAATCAAAGACGAATGCTTGAAGAACAATCGCGGTTTCTTTATGGATTAGCTGCGGCGCAGTGGCCGCATTCTCGCGGACTTTCCGCGAAAATATGCAAAAATTTCGAGGGCCGCACGGTCCTTTGTGGAGGACCGCGCAACCCCCAGGTACTTTCCCGCTGAGAGAAAGTACCTCAAACTTGAGTAATTAAACCAACGGTGATACCTCTGCCACACAGAGTCTTACCTGCGCTCGACGTACGCCCGAAAATGCCTTAAAAGAGTCCGAGCGCTTGCTGAAAGTTTGGCCAGTGCTCGCTGAAAGAAATTATTTGCCGAGCGCTTGCAAAAAATGCTGTATTGCTGCCCTCTGGCAGAATATGCGACCGTAAAGGAAGTGCCGCCCGCTGAAGGTTTGGCCACGCCTCAAAATTCTGCTGACCGCCTGCAGAAAAGCGCGAGTTTGCGGACCGCCTGCCCCCGGCGATTATGTGAGTAGGATAGCACCTAAATTTGTGAGATTCGCATCTAGATTTTTTGGAGCTCACTGCCCTGCAATGGCTGAAACTTTTTTTATGAATAGCCTGAGCTGCTGCACAATACTGCACAGCCTGTCCATTACAGCCTCTCAGTTCCCTAATTTTAGTTATGAATCTTCAAAGTACCTGCTCATGCACGTTTTTGACATCGTTCTGGAAGGCGCTAAAACGGTTTCTTTCGCAGAAAAATCTGTGCAATAGATAGAAAGTAAGCTTTTTAGTCAAAAACATTTTTTGCGCTTCAAAGATATCGTTTTTTCTCCCTGCAAAAAAATATTGTCGCGTACGGGGATAGAACACGGGACTGTCATTAAAGTCTAAAACGTTCTAATTTCCAGAAACATAGTCTATATCTTTCGGTACCATGGACCATGAATGAATTATGCCGAACATTCATAAACAGCAGAAATTATCAACCTTTACTAGAAAAGGAGTTGTTATAAAATAGTCAATTATAATGACTAAAGTGAACCGTTCCTTAATGCTGAAATTCTCTTGGTTATTTTACAGGGTAAGGCAAAAGTCTGGGAGCCTTGTACCTTTTCAGATAAAATCAGAAGGAAAGTGCCTAGGAACAAAAAATTTGGTGCACACATAAACCGAACCTTTACTAATACAGCGCTGCTTTCAAATTTTGAGATTGCCTCTTCTGGCTTCAAAGCAGCCCTTTGAAATATTGGCGAGTCCGACTTCGTGGCACGCAGACAGTGGTGATGAAATTCGTCCCACGCCTTTACGATAACTGTTTATTTCAACAGGCAAATATGCGGTGTGATAGAGCAAGCTTTTGGCTACAACGCACTGAGGAGAAATTTTTTTCGCAGTGTTTAGGAAAAAAATTTAAGAATTTTATTTAAAGGGAAGTGTACTCTATATGGGAATCTGGATGCGATTGCGCGAACGGGAGCGAAGAATCGTAATCTGAAAAGTATTGAAATTGCTTGATCGATCGAACACCAGTACACGCTTGCATAGAAGACTCATGGAAAGAATATAGCCTAGAATTCAGTGTCTGCTGTGCCCCTATAGCTTTAAAATTTATTCTAAAGAAAAATGGCCGCTGGCACGCAGCTGGTATTCGCAAATTTTTATTTTGCGTTTTCAAAAGAATAGTATCTGACAAACGCAACGGCTAAGAATTGATAGCGCGAAGTCTCCTCTACATTATCGCATCGAAGTGCTTTAGAATATCCACTGTATCGTTAGTTACGAAATAAGTTGTGAAAACCAAAAATTTCGATTTTCTCGTTTTGCAGAGCACTTGTTTGATAAATCCAACTCCTACAAAAACATATAGCAAGCACTTTCAGCCAGCCAAAGTGTGCTTTGTAGAGGATGATCGCAGCAATATGTGGCACAAATTTGGAGTCAAAATCATCAGTAGTTTCTTGATTTACAGCGCTGCAAAGTAGGCTCCCAGAGTTTTGCCCCACCCTGTATCTCACTTTTATAGGTAGAGTACAGCTTAAATACCATTCAAATCAAAATCTGTTCTGCTTTGTCAGATGATGTTCTTTCCAATCATACTTTCCCAAACACAATAAGCATAGCCAATTTGTAAAACTTTACTATTTACCCAATCTACGTAGAATTATTTGTTTTTTGAGTGGTGAAGCATTACTTGCATTACTTCCCAATTTGTAAGTACTTATCTTTCTTCGATTTAAAATTTTGTTTGAGGTCTATTTCTTCTGGAACTTCGCTGTGGACCCCTCAAAACGACATCTCATTAGCTTTTTGCACCCGATATCCAGCCTGCCTCTCAAGACCCTGTGCCCAGCCTCTCAAAATCTTTGAGTCAAGTATCGTATTTGTCTAGCTCTTTCTAAGCCCCCTGTCTTTCCAAACCGTATGAATACTAAGCGTGGTGCGCTTGAACTTCCTAGGGCTTGTGCATTATATTAGTAATATTAGAACGTTCAAGCTTCTTTTCGTCTTTTCGACCTGTCTCAAAAATAGGTGGAATAAAGAGGTCGATGCAGCTCTTGTTCTTGTTTTCAACAGTTATGTTCTAAAACAACTTGCTTTGATGGTCTAAAATAACCGCCAAAAGTTCGGACTCATGTTTTTGTTATTAAGCTTGGCAATTTTTTAAACAATAACAATCTCAACTTCTGAAAGAGCTGTGATAACAGCCGGATAGTGTAAACAAAGTGCAGTACGCATCAGCTGTGGAAAGACCCTTCAAGTTGAACTAGCTAAACTTAGTAGCTAGCTTTAACTACAAAGGTAAAAAGATTAGTAGAAACGGCCTCTCAGTTCGAGACATATACTACATTGAATTGCAAGAACATTGATTCCAAATCTGTTTTTCTTCTTATCTGCTACCATACTTATCGAGAAATGAGGGTTTTGTGAGCAAGGATATGTATGCCTGATTAGTGTGATATTAGTCGTTAAATATTCCTAACGTTTAAGGTAAGCAGAGAGCGAATTATATTAATTGGGAATTCGTGGCGCAAAATGACCGCAATCATTCCTGTCCAGAGAAAGATACAACCGATTTCATCTTAGCTGCGTATTCAATTTTTTGCTTTTTGGGGCTCCCGCCAGAGTGCCGAAGCTATGCCAGCGCTGCGCCGGCGCCGAGCCAGCGCCGAGGTGTCCCGGCGCTGTTTGATCGATTGCATTTCATTTTTTGGGGCGGGATGGCTGTCCCTGTGCCAGTAAAGCGCTACCGGAGCTTTTGACAGAGATTTCGATTGTTAGTCGGTGCATTTACCTGGCTGAGAACTAGGTCAGCTAGCCCCCGCCCCGGACGAAATGCACGTACATCGATCGGAACGGCGCTGAAACAGCTCGGCGCCGGCGCAGCGCTGGCGTGGCTTCGGTACTCTTGCGGTAGCCTAAAGACTCATTTGCTCTCCCAAAAACAGCAGCAGATAAGGGGTCCAGATTTGGTGTCATTGTTCCATGCCCTTCACAACAGTAAGCACCTTCTTGAAACTCCACTTCGCCTAACCTTATTAGCCAGCAGGGGAAGAATCATCGCTACTCTAGTATGCAATAAAATCCAGAAGCATCTTGCACAACAAAAGACGATATCTTGCCCCAAGAAAGAAGCAAAAACTACTAGCAGTACTGCTAATGGCGAGCGAATCAGATTGCTTATCTCGAGGGTAAACATTGCACATTGTAGTAGGCTTTAGTTTAAAAGCCAGATCAAGTATATGGAAATGGTGTTTTCGCAACTGTTGAAAAAAAACTTGAATTCAGCATGCTAACTGCTTTAGAAACCTATGCGAAATGTTGAAATGCTGAAATCAAAGACTCTGAAAATCAACCGCAGAAGTTTGCCGGTGTCTCAGAAATTTTTTTAATTTGCAAGTAATTCGCGGCGCCATTACGTTGAACCTAAATACCACGATGCTGCAGTGGCGGAAAAGATTAGGTGATTTGCTCCAATCAGGGAAGTTAAGCTGAGACAGCTCATAACTATCGAATGAAGATCGACGAAAGACATTACGTTAAAAAAGTTATTACGATCAATGGGAAGATGTTTTGGGACACCTTCGTATATCGCAAGCAAGAGTATTCTTATTCTTCAGCAGGTACCGTCAGACCATTTTTCTAGTTTTAGTAAAATTCACGTACTAGTAGTGTGGCGATGCGATATTGCGTCATAGCTTTCACGTCGATGTCGAAGTTTTCATATAATAGCGTGACCTTACTGTAAAATGTCCATGAAGCGATCTAAATGTAGAATTTTTTTTTCTAGCCTAAAAAGACAGCAAATGACAAACATTGACATTTAACCTCTTTATTATAGATTTCACTTGCGTTGTTGCGTTCGATTTTGAAAACTTTTGCTTTAATGTCCTGAAATAACAAAGACGATAACAAAGACTTGTTGTAATATTGTTATAGTACGAAGCTTCAATGTGACCTTGTAAAAAGTCAGTATGTGATGGATAAATGGATATGCAAAGGTGCGAATGTAAAGTTTACATGCGCTGCACATTATGGTGCCGTGAGGATGGCAGACGTACGTCTGTGAAACAGACTTGCCATGCCACTTCCGAACTTTAACAGTTCGCCTTTGCTCGCATCAGTGCTGCGTAAGCCTTTAATTGATGCGCGCTTCTTCCTCAAAAGCGAGATTTATTGCTATAGTTGCAATCTCGATTTCTAGCAAAGAGGAGAGGAAGAGTTTTGGAACTTTATTCTACCATATGATGTCAGTAATCTTATATATAAAGCTGAATGTCTGTTTGTCTGTCTGTATGTCTGTCTGTCTGTCTGTATGTATGTTCCGAATAGAAAATTCCATTTCTTAACCGATCGGGACCAAACGTGGCACACATACACTTCGGGCCCCGGCGGGTGTCATAGGCTACTTTTCGTATCGATCGATATCGATTTTATCAATTTTTTGCAAAATTTGAGCTACGGGGCTGGGAGTTGGCACAGGGGGTAAGTGAGCATGGGGATTCCGAATACAATATTAGTTTTTAAAATCGTGCATTACTTTTATCGATTTTATCGATTTTTTGCAAAGTTTGAGCTACGGGGCTGGGATTTGGCACAGGGGGGGTAATCGAGCATGCTGATCACCCCCGTGGGGGGGGGAGTGATCAGCATGCTCGATTACTCCCCTGTGCCAAACTAATATTGTATTCGGAATCCCCATGCTCACTTACCCCCCTGCGCCAACTCCCAGACCCGTAGCTCAAATTTTACAAAAAATCGGTAAAATCGATAAAAGTAATGCACGGTTTCGAAAACTAATATTGTATTCGTGATCAGCATGCTTACTTACCCCCCTGTGCCCACTCCCAGCCCCGTAGCTCAAATTTTGCAAAAAATCGATAAAATCGACATCGATCGATAACGAAAAATGGTGTGACACCCGCCGGGGCCCGAAGGGTATGTGTGCTAAGTTTGGTCCGGATCGGTTAAGAAATGGAATTTTCTATGCGGAACATACGGCGGAGCCGGGTAAGCCAGCTAGTTTTGGAATAAAGTGTGGGAACATGGGAATATTGTGTGGACTAGAGTTTTGCCATCTCAGGATGGCATTAAGTTAACACTTGTCACCTTAGCTCATGAAGTCCATGAAAAACTCTTCATGTTTCTCATGGCGCATATACACATTAATCTTGGACCATATCGTGTGTTTTTCATTCAACATACAGAGTGTCCCACCGTTTGATTGTAAATAGCTTCTTTGTAATAAAATCATTCGAGAAACTTTGAAAACCGTTTTGTGGAGCTGGATTCAATTTAGATCTGCAGTTTCGTGAGAATCAAAAACCCCTTTTCATTACTGTAGGATTACGGTAGGAATTTCGAGGAGGGTTTTGAGTAAGTTTGAGTCATATTCCATCTTTGAAATAGAACCAAAGAAGTTGAATGCTTCTAAACAATAAGTTAATCAGAGTCACTGATTCCACACATGAAACTCGCACTTCACCGTAGCCATTTTTCATAAGCTGTGCCAGATATAACACAACAACCAACTTCTGTATTGGCCAAAAATCTAACTAGGCCATTTAAAAAGATCTACAAAAGCGCACAAAATTGTGTACTGAAATCAGCATGCATGAAGACCTTGTTGCATAATTTTTTCAGTTTTTTTGGAAATTTGGAATTTTTTATAATTTTGGAATTTAGAAATTTTTTTCCAAACGGCCCTTTTAACAGTGGCGGCATATGCTGCAACTTCTTACCGTGCTCCTACTGAAGATAGACTTTCAATTTGCTCCATGCTGTAACTTGAAGTCAACTCTACAAAATTTCAAATCTCTTCAAAAGACTCATTACAAGAGAGTTATTAACAATCAAACAGTATGCACATCTTTTGGGACGCTGTGCATGTTCAAAAAGGCTTGCCACATCCCCTAATCACACCTTTTTTTCATGACTATCGTAGTTTGTTCATCCTAGCCCTTGTCCATTTACCACTTATGTCCTAAAAGAGTCAAAAAAGTCATTTGTTTACTAATAGTACGAAGAATTGTTAAAAATTGCCAGGAAGCAAGACCATTCAATCTGAATGCATGTTTGTCACGCACGGGATATTTAGAAAATACTCATTGCCTATGGATGTCTATTCGCAAGACTTCTTTTGCTTTTCCTTGAAACTTTTTCCAGCTCCATTCGCCCACCACTGTAGGTTTTCAAAAGTAACCACTAAGCAAAGGAGCAAGTGTGAAGTATTGAAGTTGAAGTTAGGCAGAGTTAGATGCTACGGAGAGGACGTGGCTGTTGTCTTATCTTATACTAGCTGGCTTAGGGAGCCTCCAGACCGCGCCGGGACCGCGCCGATTGTCGCTTTTGCAGCCGGTAGCTGCTTTCGCGCCGGTTGCCGCTATTGCGGCCGAAGCGCACTGTGTCAGATTTTGTCCTTGGAGCGTAACGAGAGCCTATTGGCACTAGATGCTAGGCTTTTCGATTTCTTTGTCATCACTTTTTTGTTTCCAAAGTTCTCTTCTTTGCTGTAGTAATGTATTGCAGATATGGTTCTTTTGATCTGGATTCCGTTTTTTCGGTCGTCTATGATGCTGGAAAAATCGATTCATTGTCGAGTGAAACCCTTTCAGTCTAGATCCCGCTGTAGAGCTATTGCAATGCAAGGCCTTTTCGACATCTTTCTCGTTTTGAAACTGGTTTACTATGCTGGATGAGCAAGTTGCGAACGTACTTTCTTTATTTTTGAAGCCATTTCATCATGCCGTAGGAGAGATTTAGCTGCAGAACTCAAATTCTCTACAGCAGGAGGTGGATTGAATATGCGACAATGAGTCGATTACTCCAGCATAGTAAAACCTGCATGAATTACTTACTGAAAGAAGAGGACCTGGGAAACAAAAGAGTAGTGGCAAAAGAATTGAAAAGCCTAGCATTTAGTGCCAATAGGCTCTCGCGACGCTCCAAGGACAAAATGCGACACGGTGCGCTTTAGCTGCAATAGCGGCAACCAGCGCGAAAGCAGCTACTGGCTGCAAAAGCGACAACCGGCGCGGTCCCGGCGCGGTCTGGAGGCTCCCTTACCCGGCTCCGCCCGGTCCTGTCAAAAAACGATAAAGGTCCATCTATCCCTGTACACTTTTACCTGTGCACATTTCTACATGCAATTCCCTATTCCCGCTGTGTGAGTACCTCACCAACCCCCCAGCCCCGCAGCTCAAACTTTGAGAAAAAAAAAACAATAAAATCGATAAAAGTAATCGATATTCCTGAAAAAAACTAATATTGTATTCGGAATTCCCATGCTCGATTACCCCCTTGTGCAAACTTTCCAGCCCCGTAGCTCAAACTTTGCAAAAAAATCGATAAAGTCGATAAAAGTAATCGATATTCCTGAAAACTGATATTGTATTCGGAATCCCCATGCTCGATTACTCTGCGCAAACTCCCAGCCCCGTATCTCAAACTTTGCAAAAAAAAAATCGATAAAATCGAAAGTAATGGACGATTTCAAAAACTAATATTGTATTCGGAATCTCCATGCTCGATTACCCCCTTGTGCAAACTTTCCAGCCCCGTAGCTCAAACTTTGCAAAAAAATCGATAAAGTCGATAAAAGTAATCGATATTCCTGAAAACTGATATTGTATTCGGAATCCCCATGCTCGATTACCCTGCGCAAACTCCCAGCCCCGTAGCTCAAACTTTGCAAAAAAAATCGATAAAATCGAAAGTAATGGACGATTTCAAAAACTAATATTGTATTCGGAATCTCCATGCTCGATTACCCCCTTGTGCAAACTTTCCAGTCCCGTAGCTCAAACTTTCCAAAAAAATCGATAAAGTCGATAAAAGTAATCGATATTCCTGAAAACTAATATTGTATTCGGAATCTCCATGCTCGATTACCCCCTTGTGCAAACTTTCCAGTCCCGTAGCTCAAAAGTTGCAAAAAATCGATAAACTCGATAAAAGTAATGGACGATTTCATAAACTAATATTGTATTCGGAATCCCCATGCTCGATTACCCCCCTGTGCAAACTCCCAGTCCCGTAGGTAAACTCTGCAAAAAATCGATAAAAATCGATAAAGTCGATATCGATCGATGACGAAAAGTAGCATATGACACCCGCCGGGGCAAGTGTAAGTGTGCCAAGTTTGGTCAAGTAAGGGAACAAACACAAAACAGAGACAGTACAAACATAAGAATATGTTAGGTTTTGTTTGTTGTGAAGCTTTTTGAATGAATTTACCAATAGAAAACTGGAAAATTTGGAGAGAAAAAGATGTCGGAAATGGCGGGTTTTTTGTTCTATCGCCAAAATTCTTTTCCATTTTTTGCTAAGTTGGGGAATGACGCATAAGAGTTTGCAGACCAGACTTGAAGCTTTCAAATGCATATATTGAAAAATATTGAGAAAAAATTAATAGAAAAAATGGGAGGGAACTTATTGCACAAGCTGATATATGAAGGCCTACAACGTATGCTATTTCGATAATCAGCGCATTATCATGAATATGTGAAACGCTTGGCGACAGCGATTTACACCTACTTTGGTCATTATCTTGGGGTTACACACAACCACTAAACACCTACGGTGTAAATTTCTGATTCGCCCCTTTCACTAGCCAGATGATTTTTGGGAACAAGCCCATCAAGTGATACCCAGAGTCTCTAAAAAAAGGGCACACTGTTTGCTTATTAACAACTTTCTTGCTTTGGTGTCTTTTGTCTAGCTTTAGGTACACTCTGTAGAGGTGGCTTCAACGTAGACTCAAAGTATGGAGCGATTCATAATCTCTCTTTATTATGTACTGTAGCATTACGCTAGGAATTTCAAAAAGTATTTTAAGCCATTGACAGCCATATTCCATCTTACAAAAAAAAAAGAAATAAGCCAAAAGTTCTAATACCAGACTAGCCAAAGTCGCGGATTTCAAAATTTGCACTTTACCCTAATGTTTCGTAGCAATAGTTATATTCGTATGCCGTAGCAATAGTTTCTCCAAATCCCGTCAGAGATCACTATTGAGAATGCTCAAAGGGCTCCTAAAAAGTTGTGTGATGAAATCAACATGCATGAAAAACCTGCTGCACAATTTTCATATTTTTAAGGAAAAACTTGTTAGACGGCCTCTTTCATAATGGTTCCATATGCCGAAAATTCCTGACCTCCCCCTACATCATAAAGAGCGTCAGTAACTTGCGCCATAACTCAAGGCATCAAAATAAAAAAGTTGCTAATGACAAACATTGCGCACATTTTTGGGACACCCTTACAATTTCTGGGTTTCATGTATTAATCATGAAGCTACGGCCAAATATACAGCAATAAATATGCTAAGTTTTTCCAGTTAAATCATGACTCAGACTAACTGAACTCCACCAAAAAAGGAACCCAAAATGTTACCGGATAGAATGTAGAGGCATTAAGTTGTCTGAACGTTCCGTATTCCGGCGAGAGACGACCAAGTTCAGCTATAGCATGTTGCGATAAAGAAACATTTGTAATAAGCGAAGAAGAGCAGGTACAGTTCAGTCTACTTTGAGTGTTTACAAATACATTGAAGACGAAAGCCATGACGTCGAAATAGAATGCAACATCAATCTGCAAATATCATTTGCTGTGAAAGGTTATAAATATTTATGAAATTTGGACTGCTTTGAGGCGAGGCAAATGTTACTGAGCAATTTTAAAGAAACATTGATTGGATTCACTTCAATAATTTTCATCCATCAATTTTTGATTTTGCATTTTGCGCTCCGAAGGATTGCAAATTGGCAGAGAAGGGTATCCGGCATTTATAAAACCGTAACGAAAAATCGACTGCGGATTTTGCGCTTACTGAAGCCTAAAGCACTCATACAAGAACGCATTACTCAACGCTCGGCTATCACTCCCAGTGTCTAAATACTACCATACGTAAGCAGAAAAACCATTCAAGCAGGGATAAAAACATCTAAAATGCAGTCTGGAAGTGCGGCGTGTCGCGCGCGGTCGCGCCATGATCAAGATTTTTCAAATGCCCTATAGGTGAGTTTTCTTGAATAGAAAATCAATTGATTAGCCCTTTCACATGCTCAAGCATGCCAATCAGACTTTGAAATTCTCTAAACCTTGAGGGCTTTATTGCCATGTAGCGGCAGCTTGACTGTTGTTTGTATATTCAATCAGAACAAATGTTGCACTCTTTTTTCCATTGGAAAATTCTGAAAACTTTGGTAAAGTCTCATGCTTGAGACCTATGTAGAAGGGCTCAACTCTTCGTACTTGGGACGTATGTAGAAGGGACAAAACCATACATTAGCCTAATTTTCACTAATGAGTCACAGCGAAATGAAGGCATTTGTGTAATTTACAAATAATGCTTCCTTCATATTGCTGAGATTTTCATACACTTCTTTTCGATCTTTTTCGAGCTCTCTATCAAGTCCAGGAGTCCCAGTAAAAACGTAGATCTTTTGGATTTGCTACAATAAGGCAAATAAGAATTTGCCAAAAACAATTTGGAAAATTCTGACCAAGTCAAACTATCGTCTGTATAACTACCCAAAAAATGGTTAAATGACCAAATCGCCGAAAGTAGCTCGCCCCACGTGGACAACTGCGGCAAAGTACGCAGCTCCACACGTCACAGACATAACGGATTCGTACCGACAGTCCGCGCGGGGTGGAGCTTATCGGCGACATAATAGTCTCCAACCCCCAAGGAAAGCGATGAAGATTTTTCCCTTAAAAAGTGTAACATAAATGGCATACCAACTTAGTGTTTCTGTAAAGACCTCAGTGGCCGGCTAAACTTGGAAAAACAAGCAGATCGAAATGTATTGTGGCTTACTTATTTTCGCTTAAGAGGAAGTGTTGTGCCATTGAAGCATAAATCAAGGTTTCTTTGACGTTTTATATACCAATAAATTGATAAAACTTTGATTCACTCGATAATATATGTCTTGGGGTTGCGCACAACTTTCTTGCGTACGAATCCGAATCCGTTTTTCCAAAACTAAGCGGGTGTGGTCTCAAGAAAGTCGTCCGTCTCGACCGCATTTGCCGTACGGATCCATAATTTGCAGAAATCACTCAACGTTTCTATTATATTACAAGGCTCAGCACGAGTTGGCTTTAGCAGTTGCTGGGAAACAAAGCCATCCTTGACTTTGCAGCATTCAGCATCTCTGTGGGGCGCTCATAGAGAAAAACAGACAAAAGCGCAGAATCAATGTTAAAAAGGCTTGGAGAACATTGAAAAGATACATTGACGTTTGTATAATCTTATTGTTTTTGGTGGCATGCACTGTCCGGCAAACCCCGCTCGCTTGTAGCTGTATTGCTGCGGCTATTTAGAACTATTTGGGGGGGGGGGGGGAGGGGGGAAGGGCTGGAACTCTGCAGAGAGGAGGAGTTGTGGCAATTCAAAAACTGTTTATATAGTAACTAGCTGGCTTAGGCTCCGCCGTATGTTCCAAATAGAAAATTCCATTTCTTAACCGATCCGGACCAAACTTGACACACATACACTTCGGGCCCCGGCGGGTGTCACAGTCCACTTTTCTCTATCGATCGATGCCGTTGGCACAGGGGGGTAATCGAGCATGCTGATTACGAATACAATATTAGTTTTCGAAACCGTGCATTATTTTTATCGATTTTATCGATTTTTTGCAAAACTTGAGCTAGGGGGCTGAAATTTGGCAGAGGGGTGAAATCGAGCATGCTGATCACCCCCACGGGGGTGATCAGCATGCTCGATTACCCCCCTGTGCCAAATCCCAGCCCCGTAGCTCAAACTTTGCAAAAAAATCGATAAAATCGATAAAAGTAATACACGATTTTAAAAACTAATATTGTATTCGGAATCCCCATGCTCACTTACTCCCCTGTGCCAACTCCCAGACCCGTAGCTCAAATTTTGCAAAAAATCGATAAAATCGATATCGATCGATGACGAAAAGTAGCCTATGACACCCGCCGGGGCCCGTAGTGTATGTGTGCCAAGTTTGGTCCCGATCGGTTCAGAAATGGAATTTTCTATTCGGAACATACGTACAGACAGACATACATACAGAAAGACAGACATACATACATACAAACAGACATTCAGCTTTATATATAAGATAAGGACTCAGACAATTATGGCGAGCATCCGCCGACCACCCACGGGCGATGCCACGCCCATCCCGAGGGCGCCCAATAAGTGCCCGATAAGCGCCCGAATAATACCATCGGGTGGCCCGATAAGCGCCCGATAAATGCGCGATTCGCATCCGCGGGTGGCCCGATATGTGGCCCGGTCAGGGCTCGGCACAGGTGACTTACAAGCAAGCTGGATATCGTTTTTGGGACAAAAAGCAAAGGGGTTTCGTTTTTGTGGATGAAGACACGCAAAATTGGCGACGTTTTTTTAGTCGACGTTTCGTTTTTTGAAGAATTTTTAGGGATTATTTAGGGTTTTTTAGGGAATATGGTTTAGGGTCAAAGGGGACTTCGTAAAAATTCCCAGAAGTCAAGGGGAACTTCGTGTTTTGCATTTTCATCTAGCCACCTCGTGCCGAGCCCTGGGCCCGGTATGCACCCGGTAATCGAATTACGAAGAATTTTGAGAAGCCGTTTCCACTTCCGGTCTAGCATAAAGGCTGCAATCTAAACAAGAATACAGGGTGACGTTCACACCCCTCCCCATCAACGCTTCAACTCTATACCACAATCGAAGGCTGCAGTTGTGTCATCCAAGAGACTTTCGACGACCTGAAATTGACTGTCCTTGCAAGCAAGTGTGGAGGGTAGCTCTATCACCGCGCCGTATCTCACGCAAGTAACGTTTCCTTTTACAGCGTGTAAGAATTGCGGCATCCAGCAAGGCCCGGGGCTCGCCAGAGTCGTTCTGTCGGGCCGTGGCCTAGAGGACCGGGGCTTGTCCGAAAACTACATATGCAGGGAGTCCCGTAAGGGCCGAGGCTCGCCGTATGGTTTTTCTTGGGCCGCGGGTGTTCCGATGAAATATTTGAGGCCCGCGGCCTTTCGGTAAGGATAACGTTGGGCCGCGGGTCACCGAGCAAATAAATCTAGGACCGCGGATGGTCAGTGCAAGAATTTGACGCCCGCGCACCGCCGAAGGACACCGTTAGGGGCCGCGGGTGCTCGCATTAATTGTCTGAGGATGTGAATAAAGGTTAAACATAAAAGATCAATTTGCGGAAGGAAAGACAGAATTTAAGACTTTGTTTTTTGTGAGCCACCTCAGGGCCGGTAGTAATCTCCTGAACTGGGGGCAGGTCTCACCGGCAGATCGCCACCACCTTGCCATGAGGTCGCCAAAAACTAGGATTCCAGATATAGGCCGTCTCAAGCCTTTTTTCAAGAAAGTACTGGATAACGGTGCCACCGCGACCTGAAGAAACCCATCGAAATTTGAAGTTTCAGGAATATCCCTGTAGAACTGTGTAGCGCAGCAACTTCGCGAGCTCATTTGCCATAACCTGCTGACAGGCCAGGGACCCAAATAGCGTGCGCCCTTAAGAAAGCATGTTGCCTGCATCTCGACTTGCCCCACCACGTTGAGGTGTTGGCACTTTGCTGTGGCTCTTTGAATTTGGGTAATGCGCAATTTCACACAATTTGCGTCAGGCAAAAGAATCAAAAATCTCACTCTCCATCAAAAAGCTATCATTTTTCTCATTATAAAATTCTTTCGGCTTTTGAACCGATGATACTCTTGTAGAAAAAGTTTAGTGATATTGTAGACCACAAAGAGCATCACCATCTTTTTGCAATCCCTTCCAAATCTTGTTTACATCTCTCTCTCTTGCTCTCGCCTCTCTCTTGCTCATATAAGTTAGCTGTTCTTTCGAGTCAAAATTTTTCACGCAACTTCTTGCTCATGAACTCTTACAGACGGCCACTCACATGTGCATCTCTCTCACTGCTGGTGCAAACGGCATTCATTGACCGAATGGTTGAATGGTTAGTCTAACGCCGCTTGAGTCGGACGCATGCAGGTTCGAACGCGTGTCATGCCACTATCTTGCAGATGTCTGCTCATCAAAATACATGTGCGATGATTGCAGACTAAGATTACACAGTATTATTAGAAACTACGGAATCCGCGAGCTGCCGCCGTAGTTGGCAACTTCCCGCGATGTTTGCCAATTTCCGGCATTTATGATGCCACCAGATAGGGCAGATTACTACCGGTCCAGGTGACCACCCAGGTCATCTAACTCCGAAAGAAGTTTGCCACGACTTCATCACAGACTTTTCATATTTCATGCGTTTCCACTCTACTACTACGCATCTGACACCAAGTTCCGTGTTATGTCATTTTTCCTTCGTTTCGTTCGGCTCCGTTTTAAACACGCCTCATCTCTATCTCGGGCTCAGTTTCAAATTAGCGCGTTGCATGGAGAGCACATTGGAGCAGGAAATTGTTGGTTTCACAAAAAATGGGTTCAGCAGGTTGGTCCACACTGCACGGCGTACGACCCATAATAATGTACACTGTGCGTACGCAGGTACGCACGCTGTCTAGTGCTGCGCTAATGTAGTGATAAGCGCTTGCGATGTATGAGAAAAGTAGATGGCGT